ATTCGCAACTTTACCCATTTTGACTCTTCTTTCCAGTGGCTTGATCAGTATTGGCTTACATGTCATTCGTAAGAACTTTTGAAATTCAGGTAGTGTTAGTCTTTTTTATGCTTTCTATGTATGAACATTTATTATATAACACCTTCATTATTCATCATAACGAGTAAGAAATTGAATAGATTTTTACTTTAATATTTTTACGCATCATTAAACTGTAGTAGGATATTCAAACCCCTTAAATCTCTGCGTATGACGACTACTTCATCGGTTTATTTGCAATAACGTAACGTTTTTTCTCAGTCTCATGTTTCGAAATGCTGTAAGTGCGCAATGTAGGAAAATTAAAATCGCTAAATAAGTTAACAACTGTTTTCACACCTGATATGAATAACATCATAATGAACTGGGTTTCCATAGGAAATTTCAAAAAAATTTATCCCAAAACATCATCATCAGCAAGCAGTGTATTATTTCTCCGTTGTGTCTTATGTTCTCTCATCAAGGTGTATCACTACTTCTTTAACCCTAGAGATTCTATGAAACTATCTGCCACAAAGATGCCACTAAAATTCGTGGAGTTGTGTAACGGATGACTAAGACTTATCATCCGAAGTAACGGCAGCTAATGATGTCCATCACCAATGGTCACTTTCATCGTTTTCATATAATCTTATGATAACTGTACAGGAAAAAGCTGTTGTGATCAATTCCAATAAATGACATACTTTCATAAACGGAGGTATGTGATTGACATTCTTGTAAGACAAGAACGTCTGAAAAATGAATGGAGTTTTGAAACATCTTTAATTGATAGCTGGCATAAACTTCGTTCCTGCCAAGTACTATCGGCGGGAACATCATCACTCACTAAGATATGCAGATACATCCAGCTGACGAGTCCCAAATAGGACGAAATGCTCATCTTGGATTCCACTGCTAGTCACCATCCACAAATTAAATTTTAATTAAATGCCCAGACATCGTTGTAGCATCTGCACAAGGAGCCGACATATTAACCCGAGACCGAGCACTTCGATCCAATCAATCGACGGGAAAATCTAAAATTCAATTAAAGTACTATCTTCATTGAAATATTCTCCTTCTTCACATTTCTCATTGTCCTTCATGACATAACTCTACACTTTACTATCATTTTCTGGCTGAAATATTCTTTCTTAAGGTTTTATATAGCCCTGTCTTCTAAGCGGAGAAATTTCTACAGTAGGTCGACGATTCTTGTTGATGGTTGTTCCCTAAATTTGTGGCTCAAAAAGACTGTATTCAACTCGAACCCGAAAAATTACATGCTGTATCTTGTGTAAATTTAGTACTGTGTACTACTGAGAACTATAAAACTGATATGAAATAGGTAATTAGTGTTTCCACAATTATGCTAGATCGTCCGGATGCCACTCACTTGTGAAATGCTAACTACTTAAAACTGTGAATTTAAAGCTGACTGAATAAACAGAATAATGAGGCATTACGCATAGGCTAGAATGCAGGTTATTGATTAAAAGAAATATTCCTAGCCTTATATACTCAAGATAATGAAATTTGGTAAATAGTTAACTTAAAGGTTTAAGAAAACAGCATCTACTCACAAGATTCTGTTGGTGCTGCTACGAATGCAAAAATTACCAAGAATAGAGTTACCGACACAAATATTATTGGGAATAAGATGGGTGCCTGAAAAACAGAAATAAACGTTATTTATTAAATACAAGTGGATGCGACTGATGTCATACAGCTTTCGTAAATTGCCTCAAGTGAACTGTCAGAGTAGGAGGTTTTACAAGAGTACTTCCCATTGAGGTATGGTTTGGGTGGTGAACAGCTGTTGTGTAGCTGTAAGCCATTTAAATTGTTCCATAAGATGTCATTTCCAACTTCCCAGCAGTTTCAGTTACTAGATACCGTTTCGAACGGAATTTATTATTCACTGTGATATATATATGTATACAATAAACGAATTAAGATGGAAACACATACTACCACAGTGCCAAGTTTCACATTTCTATTAGTTCCAGAAGTCCTTTCCGTGTTATTTAAGTTCCAACCATCTTGGAGGTCGTTTCAGTTACGAAGCATGTTTTACAGCTCAAATGAGTGACGCGTATCACCTATACCATTTCCTCTGTCTATGTCATCCATCACCCCTTACAGTCTTTTGAAGACGTTTGGTGAATTTATGTTCGAGCAGCTCTTACTCCTCATCATGTTTACAGCCCGCCGCATTAGTATTCATAAATCTACCAGTTCAGATGAAGCTGTAGAAATGCACTGGCATTTGCCAACCATCGGCTGCAGACTATCAACATTCTTCAGCAACTGTTTGAATAGAAAACAGCATATGGTGCTTGGCTTCCTCAGTATATGTGTATAGTTGTCTCTTCTATAAGTAAAGATATCATATTCCTATCAAAAGCTGGACGAGCTGTTTGATTTGCAAGTGCTTGTCTTCTACACCTGTTCAGTCATATGCCTACACATACCGACAATAATACAGAATTATAGTGATCATCTCCCACTGACCTTCTTCATCCTTATCAAGTATCAGTGTAATTCTGGGTATATAACCAATCAGTCTTTGACACTTAGGCGCCTTTATCCAAATCCATGGCAAATAGGGTGTATTTTAATTACTGTGTGGATAAAATATAGGCGCTAAGTGATGTGTCTCTAAAAATTCTAGAGGTAAACTGAGTGATTAATCAACACAATCCGAATTCATCCATTTGATTTTCATAAGTGTGCGTAGACGTGATATCTGACTATCGACCAAAGGGCGGGTGTACTGCTCATCAGTCCGCTCCGTCCTCCTTTACCGCTGTGAAACATGGCCATTGAGATTGGAAGATATGAAAAGGCTGGCTAGCTGTCTTTGATCATAGGTACCTGCGCTTTATCTCCCGTGGGAAGTGGTATAATAAGGTGAGCAATATTGAGGTGAGGCACAGATCGGGTGCTAGGTAAGGAGGGGAAATCAGTCGACGAGGCTGTGAAATGACTTCGGCTGAGATGGTTAGGACATGTATTATGGATGCTTAGTCATCGCCTTCCTCGACAATGGGCAATGTTAGCTAACATGGGGTCAGGCTAGAAAAGAGCTAGCGGCGGTCAAACCAAAACATGGTACCAGTCAATGAAATCTACAGCAGTTAGTTTAAGCCAGCCAGCCACGTAGGAAGGTGTAGACTGGCTATCCGGGTGGTGTCCTTGGCACGGTAAAAACCAGTAATTGGAAACAAATGGTGATATGGCTCAAAACGGTTCTCAGTGGCGAAGATGCATCCACTCCTTCTGACTTATGATTTCAAATGAAACTATATTGTTCTTCGTTATTACTCTTCCTTTGTCTCCCACCTCTGTTTACTGTCCCTGTTATGCTTTTGTTCTACTTTCTTCTCCTGCTTTTTGTGCTACATGGAGTGTGGCGACTTGAACTGCCGCACATCGGTGCAAAGTTCTATATCGAAAACAAACAGAAGTGTGAAATATAAGCTGCACAACTTTGAACTCCAACAAATATTTAAGTAAAAAAAAACTTAGCGATTCACAGTTTTCTCATTTGCAGCTGAAAGTTGTTAGGGGAAACGGCTTCTCAGGATTAGTATAAAACTCAGTAAACCATTTTGTGCGAAGCTGTGATGACTATAAGTTTCATTTTAGAGGTAGCTAGCTAGCTAGCTGTTCAACTAAAAGTCGTGCTTTCTGATGACTGTCCTTCATACCACAACAGTTCCTTTAATAACTTTCTTTGTAAGTGAAGTATACACATTAAAATTCACTTTGATACTTGTTTTTTGAAGTAAATCTTTTAGGACTTTTCTTAATCAGACATAGAGTTGGTTTATACGGATTAGATCTGTTTTTATTTCGAGTTTGACCACGGATTGATATCAGATAGAGAACCGTTAAAAATTCATGAGCCATTGAATCGGGTCCCAGTAGCTGAATGGTTTATGAGCTTGCCTTGTAACCAGAAGGTCCCGGTGATGGGTTCGTACTGCTGATGATTCCCAAACCAGGACGAAGGAAATAGCTGTCCAGCACTGCCTGGTTTTCGATAGTTCTCTAACTGATATCAGTTGGTGGTCAAACTCATAGATATTTAATAAATAATTAGTATGCAGGTAGACAGTGGATATAAGATTTCTGTCTTATCCTCCTTTCCACATACATTTTAACTATTATTTACAAATAAAAATTCAAATATAAACCAATCATGGTGTTATGTCTATAGGATAATAAGATGGTGAGTATAAATTGTGCAATTAGTCATAATAGTAGTAATTATAATAATAGTCGTAATAATAATAATGGTCTTATCAATAATAATCGTATCCCTCCGAATCTTTCCAATAGACTTCGTATTCGTCTACCGCACGCACACAGCTGAGGCGATAGGCATTCGAACTATTAAACCTAAACTATGTATTCAAAAGAAGTTCGTACAGCCCTTATCCCTCCCTTGGCCTATTAAGACATAACCAACTAATGACTTCTACACTACCCCTTGTTTATATTTTCAAACCCTTTCTTATCATCCCTTAATCTTATCTTCTTTATAAACGTGTTTCATTTACTTCCCTTACAATTCAACATAACTTAATCGGTTCATTTGTTTTTACTAGCCTTTATCGACTACTTCTACCTGAACATTTGTTTGTTTAATCATACTGTTTTTCATTACTCGTGTTATCACAGACTGCTTCACTTTTTCATTCTTATTGTTATGAATAAAGAAAACTTACCCTGACAGGACGTGGTTGATTTCGTCTAGTCACTCTAAACACAGGTACAATTAATACGCATAAACCAATAGCAAGCCATTGTACAAATCCAAGATATGTTATCAGAGAGTAGATATCACCGACAAACAAATAACACAATGATGTTATACACTAAAAATTATTTCAAATAAATAAGAGAAGAGAAAGTAAAAATTTTATTAATTATTTTAAAACATCCTGAAAAATTGGCATTAATTAAACTAATTTTGAATGTCATCATCATCATTATAGATGATTAATACATTCTAACCGTGAGGAAAAAGCATTGTCTAAAAGTGCAATACTCATGTAATTATAAGTGAACTATATACATGTCGGCTTAGCTTTTCGTCATGTAAATAAACTTTTAAAAGTGTTATTGAAGTTTTTGACCTTTCCCGTTCGTTATTGACTTACATCTCTGCAATGACTATTGTCTATTAGAATGTAGGTTAACTGCGCAGAATTTTAAGAACTGCCAATTATTAATTGCATATTTGTATGTTTGGTTATGGTTGATAGTACAATCGAAAATGCAAGTTTTACTCATACACCTAAAGACATGAAATCATGAATAATAAATAAGATTCATTAACAGAAAGGTTAGATTAATGTCATTAGAAGAATTCACGGGTCATTGACTTTCGGCTTAATTGGCTGAATAGTCAGCCAGTTCGCCTTGTAACCTGAAGGTCCCCGATTTGGTCCCTGGTGTCGTAACTGGTATGCACCGCTAAATGTTCCAAACTAGGATGATATAGCTGCTCAGTGGTCCCTGGATCTTAACGACTATCTAATAGATATTGGCTTATGACGAAATCTACACTGAAATGTGAGTCGGTGGCACAGAGCTAAGGACTCTCGCCAATCATGCACATGGTTAGAGGTTCGATCCCCTGCCGACTCACACCTGATATCTATGGTCGGCCTGAAAAATTTGGGCTACGGATATCACATGCTGAAAATTCCATACCCGTACCAAAAAATACGATGTGGAATCAAGCTATAATCAAAAATTAAAAAATTAATTTATCTCATACTGTAATCGTTGATGTGTTTGATCCTACTGAAATGATGATGAAAATGTCAAACGCCTAGCTACCGAGTTGATTAAACAGAAAAATCGCTTTCATTGACCTAAAAGAAGCTCAGGTTATGTGTGTAGCAGTGGTTGTTGTTGCTGTTGTTTTGTGCGTAGAATGCTTGCCAACTACCTAAGTGGTCTGAATTTGATACCCCGCAAGCCGACACATTACTGAACCTCGCCTAACCGGCAGTAAGCCATGTTAAGGGAGGAAGTTTGTCGTGAAACTGGCAACCCCAACCCATATAAAAAAAATACCGCTACTGAAACTCTAGAGTCTAAGCCTAAGGTCCTATATTCCGCCTAGAAGCTATAAGCAATGTAAAAACAAGTGTCACACTCACTTACCGTGAATATAACAGCTGTTATAGGTGTCATTCTATCCACATGCAAAAAGCATAAAAATTTCGGCATTTGATTCACTTGACTTGCAGCAAAAAACATTCTTGATGTAGTCATTACAGTTCCATTGACTCCACCAAATGTAGATAGGGCGACAAATACAGGCATAATCCACCACATGACACCATAAATTCGCACAGCGAAGGTCTGTAGGAATTAAAAGGAAAAAGGAATAGGCAACTTTATTTAAAAAAAAATAAAGTGTTTCAAAGTAATACACAGTCAGTAATTACGTTGAGAAGCCCCAGAATATTATATATCAAGCTTATCTTTGTTTCTCAAGGAGACTGGATAATTTCATGGATTCTTGTTACTTTCGACAACCATTCTAACGTTTTCCGAGAACATGAAGATTATGTAACAACTACCTTCCTATCAAAGCTTAGTATGTAGAACATTTCAAACGAATAGTTTATATTTTTGCATTTCGGTATATTTTAAAGTGAAGTGAAGACAGGAATAAGACACGGCTATCTACTATACCGATGATTATGGTGGACTGATCATGCGGCACACCTTTTGGAGGGGGAAGAAAAGAATACTCTGGACTGATAAGAAGACTCGACCAAATCTGGATTTCGTGGACGATTTATGTTTAATGGCACACAGACTTGAAGACTCACAGACAAAAACCAACAAACTGGCCGGAGAATCCGATGACAAAGGTGGAACTCCAGGTGAACATAGAGAAGACGGAGGTGATGAAGATAACCAACCAACAGCAAAAGCAACAACAAGCACCAATCACCATCAATGGGGAGATTTAACAGAGGTTACTTCCTTCACCTATCTAGGAAGCCCTGTTTAAACCAAAGCTGGCGGAATGGACGAAGATGTCAAAGCCAGATAAAATCGGAAAGGCAAGACACACTTTCATCAATCTGAAATCGGTTTGTGAATCTTTTGCACTTAGTATAAACACCAAGATTATGATTTTCAATACCACTGACAAGTCAACTCTTCCGTATGGTTCAGAAACTTGTACTACACGTAACCAAGAGCATTTAGAATAGACTGCGCGAAACTCTCATAAACCCCTTCCTTGGCTGGAGTTGAGTAAGCATCAAGGAACTGTGAAAGTGAACCAACCAACAACCTTTTGCATAACAGGAGATGAAAATTGATTGCATATACTCTGGGTGACACCGCGCGCCAGGCCCCAGAATCGTACTCGAATGTGGAATGACGAGCTGGATGTGAGTCCGAGGGAGACATGAAGGATATTGTGTGAGAAGGAGATGAAAGATTATAGGCATTATTAAAGACGGCTTAAGAAGACTTTCAAGAACAGGGTGAAATAGAATTGTGTTGGTGAAGTCGTATTTCCCACTCAGTCATAACAAATATCTTAAATATTACATCAGATAACTGCTTTGGAGTATAGTAAATGTTGAAGTGGAATATAATTCAAGATATTTATGTGATTAGGCACGTGGTAATGCATTATCAAATAGTAGAAATTTTATTCATTAAATAATACTGTGCGACTAGAATGACTAGCGCATAACGATCTTATTATTATTATTGTTCCCTTGGGTTCCTAGTGGAACATAGGTCTTCAAATGCATGTCTTCACTTGCTTCTGTCTTCTGCTCTGCTTTTTACCTGCATCCATGTTAGTCCATATTGTTTCAGCTCATCTTCACACGATCTCCTCCATGTCACTCTTGCACTGACGTCCCACTCGCCGCTTCCCTTTCGGCCTGGTTCCACTCGAGCAATGGCCTGACGCGCGCGATGTCACTCGGCGGCCTCCTCAGCCGCGAGTATCCAATCCATCTCCACTTTCTCCTGCATATTTGTTGTTTGGCGATTGGTTTATGTTTTGTTTGTTCCCAGCGATAGTTTCTTGTTGGTGATTCTTTCCGGCCCGGCCCTGCCATCTGATCTTCAGTATAGATCCAGCGAAGAAAGTTGTTGTTGATAAAGGTCTGTAACAGGCTGTTGGAAATATTCTTTGTGACCCACCCGCCAAGTTTCTGACCAATCCGTATAGAAGGACTGACTGACTTGACGTTTGTATTGAATTTTGTTGTTCATGCTGAGTTGAGTGACGAAGATTTTCAGATTGGTTTCAAGTTGATGAATGTGTTTCTCGCCTTCTCGATTGTTGGTTTGACATCTTCGTCCGTTCCGACTGCCTGTAGTCGAGACAATGCTCCCTAGATTAGTGAATGAAGTAACCTCTTTCAAATTGCTACAGAAATTTCAACGCATAACGATCTTACAGTATTTTAATCCTTAAATTTTTTGTACTGAAAAGAAATATTCTTACAATAAGTTGATTAATTACCGGTAAATACACAGTCCACGGTTCTCCACTATCGGTCCAAAATTTCAGTTAGTAGACAATGAAAAAGCATAATTGAACGATAAGAGAAGATGAAAGGGGTCACCTACAATCATTTATTCCACTGAGGTGTTCAGTTAATTACACATTGAAAATTGATACTGAAATTAGGTCGTCATATGATGATAAATAAGGGTCTTATGTTAAGAAGGTCCTTGTTAGTCGAACGTGCTAATAGATGTTTAGATCAGCTGCAAAGCACGAACAAATAAAGTCTGACATACAGTATAGTCTACACTGATAAAGTCTTTTGTATTTCGTGACGGTTTCAAAGATTTACGTAGCTAAGTCATTGCAGTAAAATACTAGCTACTAATTATTTGCTTCTGCTATCCAAATCAGTTTGATTTGACTGCAGAATAACTTGAGCTTATAGACTACGTGAATAGTATTCAAATAAAAGGCATCTTCACTACACTGGTTGTACCACACCGTCTAATATTTCAAGATATAAATGATAAACATTTGAATTTCTCACTATAAACTTCTCATACGGTTTCTGATTATTGAGTGTATACTTGCAGATGACCGTCAATTATCATATATGAGGCGGTCTGCATAGTTTTCAAAAGGAATTGAACTTCAACTAAGGCGTACTCTGAAGATGATGTTTACATATGTGGCAAAGGGATTACACGCAAAGGAGCAATCTGGTAGAACAATGGAACTGCCAGATTCTTAAAAACCTATATTTTTATGACAAGAATAGGCAAAGGAATCAATTTATCTAAGAACTCGTAAGCTATAACAATCCTTGATGAAATGCTTTACTACTATTTAATAACTTCATGCCACTTTAAGTACATGGCCTGCAAATTACGTGTGCAGTCGCCTTACTTCAAGGCAAAATGCTTAAAAAATTTAATGAGACAAATAAATACAGACTAGAATATAAGTGAGGTTATAGTACTTTACTTTACAACTTACAATAGCGACAGCTGGTGTAGTAAGTATTTCATGAGGTGACACCACAGTAACATAAGCAACATTTGCCATTGTGTAAATAAATGTTACAAGTAGACAAGAAATAATTATAGCCAATGGTAAATCACGACGAGGGTTATTCATTTCTTCAATCATACAATTCAAATAGTTCCATCCAGAGTAAGCGAACAGTCCAACATAGAAAGCTTTTGTCACTGATCCTGGACTCCAGTCAGAATTATCGAATGCTCCAGAAAGTCCCTCAACATGACCTATATTAAAAGAAATGAGAAATAAAGAAAAAAGCTTTTAAAATATGTAAACACTTTATTTCCGGAGAAATACACACATGTACCCACGTTTTTATTACTGAAAAATGTATAGCTGTAATCAGTTGATATTTTAGCAAACTACCGTAAATGTTCTGAATTCTACTAGATTTCCTTGCATGTTGTCCATGATAATGATCTAGTCGCCAAAATATATTATGGTGGAGTGATGATGAGTTGTGAGTTCATCCAATTTCACAAAATTCGCCTCCAAAAAAGAAGACTATAACCAAATGATCACTTGAAAATATTTCAGAGACAGACAAGTTAATCAGGCCGGCAGAAACGATGACTCAAACAACAACTACTACTGTAACAACAGAAGACAAGAGCCAGGAAACAGATCGTTTGTTAAGGAAATCAACACGTATTTATACATTTTCATGTACATATTATAGAATGTTGTTAGCAGAAAAACACAGTCCTCTGATTGGCTGTTTCGCACTGAAAGTTAATCTTTCATCTCTTTATGGCTGTTTCTTGAATGCCAGATCATCTGTATCCTAACTGTATCCGCCTATGCACAGCCTTTGTTCTCATTTTTCTCACGACCAATATTGGGGACATAAACATTGACGTAAATTACCGTCTACCAACTTTGGCTAGCAGCCAGCTATCACCACACCACTACAAAAATCACAACAACGTCTAGCAGACAAATACATGTTGCATTATATTTACAGAACCTCAGAAGTTTAAGCCACAAATAAACGAATTAGAACTATCCAATAAGCTTATCATGACAGTATAGGCATAAATCATAACTTCATGGCTAGCAAAGAAGCTTTTCTGTCCTAACACTGCTCGGTAAAGTCGACATGCGACTTCAGACAGATTTGTTAACTCTCTGAAAGTATATCAGTATCGTAAAACCAGACAAACCTATCAAGAAAAAAAAGTTACTCCAAGTTTACAGTAATATATCAATAATCTAAGAACAAATGAATAGAAACAGCGTTTGGATCGCTTGGCTACATCTTAACGTTTTTATTAATTGTTCTCAACAGTTATACACTTCTAAACCAAAGTACATGTTGATGAAATATGCATGAAGTCTGAAATATATGATTCTGTCTATGGAATGATAATAGACACCAATCTCTGGGACTCGAAAACACAGCAGTTTTAACTCATTTTGCTGAATAATGAAAGCCAATACTTATTCCTAAGTCCCTTGTTTTTTTAAGATTTGTTCTAAATATCCTTTTAGATTATTCTTTCACAGTTTAAAAGACAAAGTTTAGCTTATGCACACCAGTTTATGGTTAATGGAAATCAGATCAGTTTAAGGTTTGTTGTAGTTGTACAACTCGTAGTGCTCCTAGTAGTGCAATTCAGAATGAGTATTTCGTGTTGATGCTTTGTGGACTAAAATGAGATTCAAAAATGTAAACATGTCTAGGCCGTAGACATACTTTTCGTCATGGCTTTGATTGCCTTCCTTGTTTTGTCATGTCTTATCTAATCCATCTGGTTTCTCACTACGGAATATCTCTTTAATCTTACTTCACTGTATAGAAATGTAAAATTTATCTGATCGGACAAGTATTTAGCCTTACATTATCATACCTACATAAATAGGAATAATTTCACAGTTTTTACAATGATACCATTAAAAAAAAGTGGACAGTAATTCTAAATTGCGTCCATGGTTTAGTATTGCAATATTGGTAAGCCATACATTGGCTCAGGTTCGGCTTCTGACCAACTCACTCCTAGACCTCGCCTACTTGCCTGGTAGTAAAATCCGAAAGAAAGGGATGGTTAGGCGTGTAAAGCTAATAATTTCACCAGGTAAAAACAATGCCACTAAATTTACCAATACTTTAGACCTCAAGCTTGCAATCAAATATTCTACTCGAAACACAGAAGAATAAATTAAGTTTTAAAAATAATAAAGCATATTCAATTCAGTTTTAGATTTTCCCGTCAACTGATTGAATCTAAGTGCTCAGTATCAGGCTGAAATGTCGGCCTGTTTGTGCAGTTTCTTCAACAATGTTTGGTCATGTAAATTGAAGTCAACTGGTTGATGGTGACTAGCAGTGGAATGGAGGATGCGTGTTTCGTCCTATTTGAGATTCGTCCTCCAGCTGGATGTATCCACATTCCCCAGTGAGTGATGGTGTTCTTACCGAAAGGCGTATCCTGAATTCCACTACTAGACACTATCAACCGATTGACTTGATAGTGAAGCATATTTTTGATTATGTAATTTTATTTTTCCTTGATCAAAATAGGTTATGCGTAAAATAATGCAAAATGCTATTTAAATGGTATTTTAGTATTATTTGTCGATTTATTATACTGCTGATGACTAGAACAGAACAGAATGTAAATTTAAACTCAAAAATAAAATAAATAATTCTGAATTTTTGAAGTATGAAATATCTAAGCACACAGACTGTCATGCTTATTTGTACAAAAAACATACACATATAAGTAGTTAGTATTCACTAGTACTTGAATATAAAAGTGTAATGCATAAATTTTAAATTGTTTATCGTTTTGATTATTATTACTATTGTTTATTTATTTATTTGTGTTTTCTAACATCTTCATCTGTCAAGTTCATTGAGACAAGGTATAAAATCATATTTATTTATTTAAACAAGAATATATAAAATACCGACTAAAGAGACAAATGAACTTTGGAGATAGAGTTAAAACAGTTAAATTTTAGTATAAAGTTATAAAGACGCTGAATTGTCGTTTTATGTAAACGAATATTACAAACCCACCCATCCCTAAAAAAAACGAAACTATTACATTATGAAATCAGTTTTTTTTTAAAAAAAATAAATAAAGAACGACTAGTTTTTTGTCACTGTCTACTACTCTTTAATATTTGTTATAAATGCTGGAAAATGTAGGTTAAACAAATTCTAACATATGAAAAAATAAAAGTGAGATGGTTGGTTTTTACGAGTTGATCACGGATTGATATCATTTGGGGAATCGTTGAAAACCAGGGAGTACTGAACAACTGCTGTTTCATTCTAGTTTGGGAATCATCGGAAGTACGCACCCACCACCAGGATTCCAACCCAGGACCTTCCGGTTACAAGGCAGGCTGACTCGTAGACCATTCAACCACTGGGATCCAATCCAATGGCCAACTCATGAATTCTAACTTCTTCCAATTTGTGATTTAGCGCAGCTGGCACCAACCATTGTCGTTGGTGGGACATCTATCCACACATGTGATATCTAATTGGAATTCAGTCACTAGAAAGCCATTGGAAGTGAGTTTCGTGATTGTTGATACTTGTCAATAAGGCATATCCTACATGAGTGAATTGATGTCCCTTATATAAGATTAGAACCCACATTATCCATTGGTAATGTCACAGTCATTATATCACAGTCATTACCTGAATAGGGCCAGGTAGTTAGGTAGGTAGTTACCTGGGTTCCAGTGGGAAGTCGTGACCAGTAGGATGCAGCGGGTCGGGTGTGAGGACAAATACTCGTCGAAGACATTGATTAGCGGTCGCGCTATATCGTGAATTGGCAGAAGTTAGAATTCACGGGCCGGCCATTGGATCGGGTCCCAGTGGCTTAATGGTATACGAGGTCGCCTTGTAACCGGAGTGTCCTGGGTTCGAACCCCGGTGGCGGCGAGGGCGTACTGATGAAGAGTCCCAAACTAGGCTGACGAAACATCTATCCAGTACTCCCAGGTTTTCCAATGGTTCTCTAACTAGTGTTAGCTCATGATGAAATCCTATAAGTTTTATCATCGATTTTATAGCAAGTTAACATTTCAAAAATTTAAAGTGTACTGTTTTGAAAATGAGATGACCTCTAGCTGGCACACTGTTATTCATACAATGAATGATAGCAGTAGGTGAAATGAATTCTCGGTAACAGCAGGATTTCTACCAGAGGTCTCCTTATTTTAAAGTGTCAGTTTGTAGGGATTCGACTCCTTACGAGTTTGATCATGAAGTGATATTGATTAGAGAAGAAAAATCAAAACTGACGAAAAGAGCATTCTAAATTTGACTGTTATACAACAGATAGTAAATAAATGACGTTCAGTTGATTATTGACTGATTGACAGACTAACAAACACAGTGACTGAGTTTCAACGTAGGAGTTTGCACAAAACTGCCCCATTTCAAGTTGCCATACTTTATGTAACATACAATGGTAGACAAAAGAGAGAAAAAAGAAACTCAAAAGAACTTTAATGAACAGCTAATATTGCTTATCGAGGAGAGCATTGGCTTTACATATTCAGTACTTGTCCCACCCATCTCAATCTATGTAACTTCATAACCTTATATATTAACTTACCCTCCTTATCTAACACTGTATGCCTAACTTTAATATCGCTCACCCTATTATACCGTTTAGCACTGGAGAGAGAACGGAAGAGCTAATGGTCAAAGGCAGCTAGTCTTAACACATCTTCTGCTTTCAATGACTGTGTTTCACAGAACTTATTTAGTACACCTTTGAGATAGTAGCAGACAGATTAGCTCAACGGAATCTTAAATGAAGCCCACTTAATATTCTGAAGTTGATTTTAGTAGTACACTACCAAAATACATCATCTTTTAAATGAATAATGTTGGGTAACTGGCCGAGTGAAGACAGCTATACTAACTGGTTAGAAAAACGGATGAAATTTGTATCTCGGATTTCACTGTCAGTTGTCTTTAATAAACCTGAGCATTTCCTCCTATAATTCAGTGACACTTTGACTTCTCCATTCTGTAATGAAAGTATACATCTCCCTGAAAGTCTTTTATTTCCTTGTTTCGTCACCTACAACATATAGTAGACTAAACTTCTGAAAAACGTCTTATTACATGTGTAACATCGTATTTCTGTTTTAAAAAATCCCAGATGAAGATAATGTTACCGATAGTTACAGACTTTCTCCCTGTTTGTTTCTCACTCCAGCAAGCTGTAGATTACAGGCATTTAAGAAG